ATTAGACTTAAGGGCCTCTCTATAGGTTCTGGGTTCGTTAACCTCAAGGGTCTCAAACACAGAAAACACAAACATAGAAGTATCACACATATGGAAAGCATAATCAGGCATACTATCAGCAGTTCTCCTAATTATGAGTCTCCTTGTTTTTAGTCAACATAGTTTTAAATAGTTTAAATAAAATTGTGCAGTACATGCACTATATATGTTCAAAGTTAAATATACAAAATATGAAAATAATATAGTTTCAAAAGGTGATAAATATTCTTTCAAAAAAGACAAGATTCAAGGGCAATCATGGGAAATCATTTAGAGTTTTTCACATGCTCAACAAATCATACCTACAAATTAACGGAAAAGGGCTAATTTTATGAACATCCGTAGATCCAGGTCTCATAAAGTATAAATTTGAACTTTAATCGGAATAGCATTAATGTGTCACAAACTAAATATAATACTCTGTATCATATATTCAACATCTCGATCAACCTCATCACAATGGAACTTTTAGTTTTAGACATAAGGATGTTTTTATTTGGATTGTAATTTGTTGGTCTGGTCTGTTTAAGTGTGGTCTGATATGGTCTGTTTAGATCTGGTCTGGTTTAATCTGAACTGATCTGGTCTGATCTGGTAAATGTCTAATCTTTTTGTATCTTATAATTACAGATGTCTGGTCTGGTCTTGTATGGCTTGTTTAAGTCTGGTCACGTCTAATCTGATCTGATTTGTTTAAGTCTGGTCTAGACTACGATTGAAAACAATTCAAGTAGACACTAAAATATGCAACAAACTTCTAATTGAATACTACGTATAGTAGTAGATTAGTAGCTAACCACGGAGTATAAATTTTCGCTGATACTTCTAGTGTTCAAAGACAAAAACATCGGATCATATCAGTTTTTCAAAAACGTTACTTAACTCATTCAAATTATAATCATATCATCCCCTGTCACTGTATTGAGATGTGCAAAACTATATTACACTAACAAGTAACAATGACCACATTACCATCAATTTTCTGAAATTTTTATTTTGTACTACCTCCGTCCCTAAATTTACTTCCAAACTAAAGTGGCACGCGGATTAAGAAAGTAGGAATTGTGTGGTAGAGAGTTGTGTAGCGGAGAGAGAAATGCTGTGAACCACAAATTCTTTGTCAAAAAGGGAAAGTGAAGTTCTTTTTGGGACGGACGAAAAAGGAAAAATGGAAGTATTTTCAGGGACGGAGGGAGTATTTAATATAATAGCAACAATGTAACATTACTCTAGTGTCACAAAGCTTCCTATCGTCTATGATGAGCTAAGAGGGAATTGAATGTATGAAAATTGCAAACAAAAAGTTGTATGACTAGGTGTTGCCTCACAACAAAAAAGTGCAGACAACAATTCAATGTTCGCCTTGTCGCCTGTCTCATATATCTGTTGTGCTTCAAGCCACAACGACCTAGACGGCGGATGAATCCTCTTCCTAACGACTCATAGTACGCAACATCGCAGCCTCTTCTGTACTTCCTCTTATTGCTACCTGCTTGTCGGAGATTGGAATTCCAGAGTTGTAGCAAGCCGCTTGCCTTGTTAAAAAGTAAAAACATTCCCTTTTCCCAATTTGTGCCCCTCCAAAGTCCCTGGACTGGTTCCACCACTGTGTATAAATGTCTAAGTACTAAAATAATTATGGAATATGAAGTATGTAACTAGTTGATTGATCCTTTGGAGATCCACACATGTCACATGATACTCACATCCATATGGTCAGTAGTCGAAAATCGAAATGTTTGAATAATTTTGAACTTTGAAAAACTTTTCGAAGTTGAGGTTCTCGAGGTTGAGTTTTTCGATGTTGAGTTGCGAAAACTTTTTCTCGATGTTGAATATCGAAAACTTTTTCTCGATGTTGAATGTCGAAAACTTTTTCTCGATATTGAATGTTGAAAACTTCTTCTCGATGATTGAATATCGAAAACGTCTTCTCGATGATTGAATATCAAAAACGTCTTCTCGATGTTGAATATCGAAAACGTCTTCTCGATGATTGAATATCGAAAACGTCTTCTCAATGATTGAATATCGAAAACTTTATCTCGATGTTGACATCGAATAATTCTTTTTCGATATTGAATGTCGAGAAACATGTTTTCGAGCTTCAACCTGCGAGAAACGTGTTATCGAGCTTCAACCTGTGAGAAACGTGTCTTTGAGGATTAGCTTCGAGAAATTCAAGACTTCGCAAAGTGGAGTACGGTTTTGTTAGCATATATACATCCAAAAGCGACGATTCAAGGTACAACATGCAAGGAAAGCGCCTCGGAACAAGTCATGCGGGTGTGGCTAAGATGGTTGACTTCTACAGCCTTCACAGCGCCCTAGCCGTGCTCAACGCGTAGGAATCGGCGGTCCTCCAGAATCGGCAACGTAGCATTCCGGGATGAGGTTTGTTGCATGCATCATACTAGGGAGCATATATTACTTTTCTTACTAGTTATTAGGTGAATTCTAGTGTTTATTTTCACCTTTTCTAATTAGAATATTTCAAACCTTTAAACAAAATTTTAATTTCTTTTACCTACTCCGTATATGTTTGTCGATGAAGTATTTCATTAACATTATATATTACTCCATTACTAAATTAGCATTGATTAGTAGAAGTTTTTCTAAAATAGTCCTAATAAAAGTATTATATTGTGTAGTAGAATGAAGTTTGTTTTATAATCAATTAGACTACTGATCGATAACTTTGAATCTCGATCATGACTATATGTTTATAGTACATGCTCCGTATATAAATCTTCTCCATATTTTTAGTTTAAATAGTTCTAAATGGCAAAAAATTACTTATTCGGATTATATATATAAATTGAATCATTAATATGATACAGTTAGACAGTTAGTGTAGAGGAAAACTGACTGCGAACTCTAACGGAGTAAATATCTAAATTCGTCCTCCTATATATATCTCTTTAATTTGGTCCAACTTTTTTTGTTATGCGGTTACGAAGTGTTTCATTACATGATAATCCGAACTCATTATTTTTCCACATATCGAATCAATCACTCAAACCTAAAACTCACATCAAACTCAAAAACATCTTACATTATTGGAAGAATATACAGAGTAATAGTGTAACATTAATACGGACAAATTCTTATTTGGATTATTTTCACCAAATCAAGGTAATATTAATTGGAAGAATATTTTGTGAAATTGATTAAGTACTGTTGAAAAGGTTATTTAAAACTTCACGGTTAATTCATTTCCTGAATCTTATATTGAGTATTGGTAATGATATTTCCTAGATCCTCGTAATACCGTAATTTCTTGTATACCATTAGGTACTCATCTACCTATGGTCACAGAACATGAATACGTAGTACGGCCTCCGTATCAAATTAATTGACCTGTTTGCTTTTCACGCAGTTTAAGACAATTACTGTAGACTTTATTAAAAGTAAGAGGTTTTTGGTACTGTAGCGACACTGTAGCGGTACTGTAACAATACTGTAGCTGCTTTTTGAGTGGGATTCTTTCCAAAAAGAGAAAGGGGTCAATTAAATTGATACACCAAAAAAGGAAAGTGGGTCAATTAATTTGATATGGAGGGAGTACAAATTAACGAGTACCGCCAATATTGTAGGAGATACATAGAATCAGCTCTTATTTTATGCAACCATATGACATATGGAGTACTTTTTTTTATGTTAGCATTTATGTTTATTACAATTAATTGAATTGTTTGCTTTACTCTTTCATACGGAGTATTACTCTCCTGTCCCTAAATTTACTTCCATTTCGCTTTTCGAGAGTCAACTTAAATCACCCTTAAACTCTTACTTTTTGTATCAAAACTTCATGAAAATTGATTGTTTTTTTGCAGGCTTTGTAGCGGGTTTAATGTAGTTTCTGAATATGTAAATTTTATTTACTAAAAAAAATCCGAGTTTTCACAGGGATCATTTAACTTTATCGTCGGTCAACCTTCGTAATCCGCAATTGGAACAACATTCAGGGACGGAGGGAGTATTTCTTTTCCCACATTGTGCAAAATGTAAACCTTTCACATCATCTCTCTCGTGTACATACCGTTAGTTATGTATAATGCTCTTTATTCTAATCTAGAGACTAGAGATGCTCCAAATCAGAATTGAATTTGTGCGTATTAATAATATGTTGCCCATATGTATATGTCCACTAATAAATACTGAGGAGTATGAAGTTAGTTGATTGATCCTTTGTAGATCATCCATGTCACAAGCTAAGATACACTTTTTACGAATCATTAATAGGTCGATAGGTTTTGTTTTATTAAGTGGTAGATAGGATTTGTAAAAAAAAAGTGGTAGATAGGAATCATAGACTCCTAGGGTACTACTCCTAGTTATATTTAGTCGAAATAGGAAATTATTGTTCTGCCTAATTTAAAGTCATACCCCATTATCCGTATATATTTATGCAAGTGTACGAACTTATGTCAATTCTTACTCACCCGAATTTATAACATGGTTCTCATTTAGAGACCAGAGACATTTATGTATTTTAAACATTATTCTCTATTATAAGTAGACCTATCATGGTTCCTAAAGGAGTACCCAATTCCATAATCATACAAGGTATTAAGAGCCACAAAAACCTAATTACTAGTATTTTTTCTCTCTCGATCTTTCTCTTCTTCCCTGGGATCGCCGCTTAAGGCATCATCGCCATGGCCACTGCTGCAGCTTCTCTATCCACCACCACCACCACCACACCTTCCGTCTCGGCTAGCGTAACATCAGCGCCCCTATCCAGACCTCGGTCGACACTTCTTCTTCTTCCTCTGGCATCCAGTCCTCCGTCGTCCTCCCTGGCTCTGCCGTTGGTTCAGTATCGTCGTTCACTTCACTGACGAGGAATTCGTCGCGCAGTTATGGCTTCTTTCAGACCCTCCCTCCTGTCTTTCCATGGTCAGCGCCAGCTTCACTGCCGCAGCTCTCCCTGGGTCCACCACCTGCTCTCGCTGCTACGCCGGCGGTACAATTTTCAGGCCCAACGTTCGTCGGGTCCCCTGGTGTGACATCCTCTGTTTCAACAACTCGACTCGCCCCTCCTGATGTCTCGGATACACCCATGGCAGATTTGGCACAAACCTCGTCTCATGTGGCCACTAATGTTACGAACATCGTTACTACAAAGCTGCAGAATGTTGAGGATTACAGTACGTGGCGCACTCAGTTCGAGTCTTTTCTTGTGTCTCAAAGTCTTCTGGGCATGGTGGATGGCTCGATTCAGGTACCTCCTGTTTATTCCATAGACCTATTCAATCGTCAAATCCCTAATCCCGAGTATTCATCATGGTTACGTATTGATCAAAATATTCGTTCATCGTTATTTGCAACATTATCTTGTGATGTGCTTATTGATGTACGTGATTTGAAACATTCTTTTGGGATTTAAGAACGGTCGGAAACAAGATTTATGTCTGCCAGTTTAGCTAGGTCTATGGAACTGAAACATATGTTGAACACTATAAAGAAAAAGCCTGATCGATCAGTCTATGGATAGTTATTTGCGGGAAGTTAAGATTTTGGGGTATGATCTTGCATGCATTAATTGCCCTATTTCTCATCTTTATATGATCAAGTCCATTATTATGGGTTTAGGCAAAATCCTTCCATGATCAATACTGTGTCTTTATAAACATAATCTCACATGGCATCTACATACCCAAAATAGACTAGGGACATTTATGTATTTTGGACCTACCAGGGTTCCTAAAGGAGTACCCAATTCCATAATCTCACACTCATTTTGGGTATCATTGCGAATAATCTCAATAACACACTAATATATTTACTAGTATATGTTTCAGTATGGTGCATAAAAAAGAGTATATGTTTTGGTGCTCTTAAGATAGCATTGTTAGGATGTTTTCTTTTGGACTAAAAATTGATGGTCTGGTCTGGTCTGGTCTATTTAAGTCTGGTCTAGTCAAGTCTGGTCTGAACTGGTCTGGTCTATTTAAGTCTGGTCTAGTCTGGTCTGGTCTGAACTAGTCTGGTTTGGTAAACGTCTAGTCTATATGTATTTTATAACTATCCAAGTTTGGTCTGGTCAGGTCTGGTCTGTTTAAGTCTGGTCTGATCTGGTCTGGTCTGATCTGTTCGGGTCTGGTCTGGTCTGTTTAAGTCTGGTCTGGTCTGATCTGGTCGGGTCTGGTCTGGTCTGGGACTGAAAACAGTCCAAAAGAAAACATCCTTATTTAATTAAGAAGACAAATGAACAATATGAGGTTGGGGCGGCTGATTTTTCTAATTTCAAGTGTGATAAGTCCATATTTAGACGCACATTTGATGGGTGTTGATATCGGTTTTTAATGGTTTTCCTATCTTTAAGGTCTCACAAGTCTCAATTTTAGCTCAAGTTATGTTTACCAGGCGTTGGTTCGAGTTTTGTGTCATTTGGAGTCAAAATCAGGAATTTAGAGTTCGGCACTGGCGCTTGAGGAAAATCGGGATGATTCGAGATGCATTCGAGAGTGGATTGAGAGCTTTGGAGGTCACCGGGAGGTTCACGATGAAGATTTGATGACAAAAGAGCTCTAGGATTGGTGGCTATAGAATCAAAAGAAGATGAATGAAGCTGGAAAACGACGATCAGGATGACCTTTGGTCAATCGTTCAAGCATATCTCTTTGTATAAGCATCCAAATGACACGATTCAAGTTGTATATGAAAGCCAACTTCAAGGGCTACAAATCATATGAAGACATCGTTCCGAGAATCGGAGAGGATCAAGGTGAAAACAGATGATGAAGTCAGATGATCTCTGCTGCGATTTCAGAATGACACCTTCCACCATTTTGGTCATATCTCTTGATTGGATGATTCAAATCACATTCGGCAAGTTGGGGTGGATAGAGGACTTCATTATATACAACTTTGATGAAGGAAGTTTTGTCAAAATCGGACTAGAAAAAAGGCTGAAGAGCACGGACGCACGACCGTGCGTAAAAGGACGCACGATCGTGCGTAAGAGCCATCAACGCGTCAACTAATCTGCCTGCTACGCACGATTGTGCGTGGCAAGGTACGCACGATCGTGCGTACACCCGAGACGCGGATTTCAGCCCTTTTTTAGTCCCAGTTCAGCCCAAACTCATCTGTTTTCTATAAATAATACCCCCATACCCATATTTTGATGTTACGAACATTACGGAGAGGCCTAGGGACGAATTTAACACCGTTTTTACGCTAGTTTCTTCCAAGACCCTGGGATTATTTGTAAGTTCATCTTTTTAATTAATGACAATTTATTCTATTCATCCCAATTCTGTTGATTCTTCAATTATGAATTGTGAGTAGTTTAATTGGGGATTTGGGGTTGATGAAGGGGTTAATCATGATGTATGGCTAGATTCTTGTCGGTTTAATTGCATGAATGCCGTTTAATTTGTGTTTGAATAATTTAACTGATATCTTTTGTAACCGGGAACCGCGGCTAGAATTACAATTGCTGGTAGAATAAATTAAGAGAGATCTAGTTTATTCTAGGACACATTCACACACACTTAATCGTTCGCTAAGAGATTAGTAGTGATTAAGGGGCCGTAAGCTCGCTCGTCTTGGCAATAATTTAGGATCTTGTCGCATGAGAGATCAGCCTGGTCCCCTAAATTATTGTACTCTACGCCGCGAGAGCAGAAGAACTTAGTAATGATTAGCTAGGCTCAATTAAATTAATTTCATGTAATTAAGCCTGATCTGCCAGAAATCTGGTTACCCTGGAATCAATCCCTATTCCCTTCGTCATTAATTAGAGAGAAACCAATCTTTTTATTTTATTGCTCATTAGCATTAGTTTAATTTTCCACCCAATCAAATCTCGCACAACGCATTTATTTTATTTCTTTTTAATCGCTGAATTTAATTAATTCTTGATTCCCTTTTGTCCGTCCCTGTGGAGACGATACTCGTACTTACACCACTATATTACAATCTTTTTGAGTGCGAGAAAACTCACATCAGTTTTTGGCGCCGTTGCCGGGGATGGTGTCGGTTTTAAGGGTTAATTAATTTTAGCGAGATTTTTTTTAGTTAGTTTTGTTTTTGTTTTCCGTAGGATTTTTTCTGTGCTAACCTTTCAGGTATTTTTCTAAGAGGCATGAGATGAACTCTAAGAGGAATTCCTTACCCTCAAACCTCCATGGAATATTCACCATATACGCCATACCCTCATTACACTCCTCCTCCTCCTCCCCCTCGTCCTCCTCAATATTACACATCTCATCAAAATTATTCTCCTACACCACAAAATTTCCCATCTTCTTATTCTTACCCTCTTCCAAATACGCAATACTCCCAATCTCATTCTCCTAATCATTATCCTTATCCACAATATCCTCGGACAAAACCAGGCTCCATAATGGAATTTCTCATTCAAACTAAAAGTCCCGAGGAATTGGTTGATTGCTTTCCTAAAAATAGCATTTGTAACTTCTGTGGAGGTGGTCACCATTCATGTCTTTGCCCCATTCCTCCATACGACCATCCTTACTGGGAAACTGCATACCCCACTTCTTCCTCCCCACAATTTACGGACTCAAATGTTTCAGCCACTCCTACATACTTCCCGAGTAATGAGCCTCATAATCAACAAGAGGATCTAGAGGAGGCAGATTTAAAGAGGCTTTCTTACTTGGAAGAGGGAATCATGCAACTCACAGTCAGAATGCAAAATTTCAGTAATCACTTGGATCAGCTGTTTAACATCCTATCTGAGGAGTCCGAGAGATCCCATCCTAGCGACACAAAAGCCCAACCTGAGGAGACCAATAGGGATGATCATGTGAGTGAGTCGGACTGCGAAGGTGGGAATATGATGGATGATACACTTCCTGATGTTTTTGAAGACCCTCCTATGTTTGGAGATGAAGAAGAAGATAAGAGTGTCGAGCTGTTTTTCCAAGAATACAGGAAAAAGTTCGAAATGGTACAAGCTGTGACTGATGAAGTCACAAATCAATGTGATTTTCATACAAAAACCCCCCAGCCGTTTCATTTATCATTAGTCTCAAAACCTGAGGAGGGCAAGGAGAAGATCAATCATGATGATGGTGCTACTAAGGTAGGTTTGGGTATTGAAGATGAGTTGGGAAAAGATGATTACATGCTCCAAGAGAGTGAGGGCGGGTTACATGATGTTCATAATGAAGAAGTCCCGCTCCACAAGCAAGAATTCCCCTCTTGTACACATGCACCGGTCCTCTCTTACGTGGTTTCAGATATGGACTTCTTTGATTCACTCCTTGATGACGATATTCCTTTTTGTGTGGAGAATGACAACACCATCCGGGAAGTTATTGATAAGAACGATGTTAACGAGAGTTGGGATGTCTTCATGGGGAGTGATACAGAGCCTGGAGGAGAGGTTGCGAATGTTCATGATATTTGTGAGGAAGAAGAAGACTTTTCTATGGTGCAGTTTGATCACGGTGTTGCTCCTAATCTTTGCTTTGAGACATGTTTTGAGCTTCCAGTGACACCTAGAGTAATCAAAGTTTTCACTCATGTTCCCTATCCACCTGAAGAGGATGAGAGTTTCATACTTCACTTCTGCGCTGATGAGGGTTATGAAGACCATATGCTGCCTACATGGTCTGAAGAATTTAAAGATATGCGCCACCTAATGACATTTGTTGGGAGGAAGCTAGAAACGTTGATTGTTAGTGCACCACTACAGTCTTTGCAATTTGAGAGCTTATGAGGTATCGTCGGGCACACGACGTTAAAAATAGCGCTTCTCGGGAGGCAACCCGAGCTTATTTCTGCTTTTGATTTTGCTTTGGCTTTGTTTGTTGTTTGGTTGTTTTGCTTTGTGTTTTTGTTGCAGCTCAGGGTCTTGTTGTATGGATGATGTGCCGAGGAATACATTGACTCAGTTTAGTTCTGCATCGACCAACGCCTTAGGGAAGTTTCTTTGACTCTTTTAATCGCTTGTTGAAATATTGACTTGAGTTAAGTTGAGCATGCGTGACCCTTTCCTCTTTACCTCTTGTGCATAGTGCATTTTTGGTCATCGAGGGCGATGCCAAAGTTTAAGTGTGGGGGAGTGAATTGGTCATTCGGGCAGTAGTTGCTACATGTGAGTTTTAGAGTTAGCATGCGCAGGTGTTAGTTGGATATTCATAGGAAATTCATGTCAATTTTTTGAAATTTTTTCTTTAAACTGTGTCTTTGTGATCTGGCTAGCGTTTAAAACATCTTTGAAGTGTTTAGGCTTAAATTGCTTGCACTATAATCATGGTTTTTGAAAGGATGAAGGCATTAGTCACCCATTGAATAAATCAACAATTTTTCCATTTACCTGAATAAGTTCCTTTAGGAGAAGCCATTTTGAGCCTGACCATTCTTTGTTTACCCGATTAATTGAGCTCCATAGCCAAATGGCCTGTGTTTCCTTACCCGTGAATATTTCTGACTTAGATGCTGTTCTGTTCGTCTTATTCTTATTACTTATTGCTTATTCTTATTTTATTCAGATCAGATCAGATCAGATCAGAAAAATTCAGATCAGATCAGAAAAATTCAGATCAGATCAGATCAGATCAGAAAGATTCAGATCAGATCAGATCAGATCAGAAAGATTCAGATCAGATCAGAAAGATTCAGATCAGATCAGACCAGATCAGAAACATTCAGATCAGATCAGAAACATTCAGATCAGATCAGAAAAGTTCAAACATGATTTATCACTTTTATTATTATATTAATTATTATTATTATTAATATTGTTATTACAATTATGATTATTATTATTATATAATTATTATTAATAATATTAATAATAATATGATAAAAAATAAGATATTAATAATAGTTATAATATTTTAATATAATAATAGTAATATAAATGTAATTATTAAGAAGACTATTATTATTATTATTATTATTATTATTATTATTATTATCATCATCATCATCATTATCATTATCATTATCATTATCATTATCATTATCATTATCATTATCATTATCATTATCATTATCATTATCATTATCATTATCATTATCATTATTATTATTATTATTACAATATAATAATAATAATATGATTAATGTTAATATAATATTATATTATAATTATATGTAATTATAATTATAATTACAATTATAATTCTTATAATTATAAGTATAATCAATTGTATTTATTATAATTATATCTATAAATATTTATAATTATAATTGTAATTAATTATAATTATTATAATTATACTTATAATTATAATTTATGATTATAATAATAATTATTATTATTATTACTATTGTAATTATTTTACGGAGTAATTATAATAATATTGATAACTATAGTTACAATTATAGAGATAAATATGTTAATTATAATTATATAAGTAATTATAATTAAAAATATAATTACAATTATAATTATATCTATATTTATAATTACAATTATAATTATATCTATATTTATAATTAGTGTAATAAGTATAAATTTTTTCATTTTAAATTTAATTTTAATTATTATTATTATTTTAATAGTTACGATTATAATTATAATAAGTATATAATAGTGTAATAAGTATAATTTTATTTAAATTATATTTGTAATTGCAATTATAATAATTATAATTATAATTATAATCATAGAAATATTCAAATCAGATCAGATCAAAAAGATTCAGATCAGATCAGAAGGATTCAGATCAGATCAGACCAGATCAGAAACATTCAGATCAGATCAGAAAGATTCAGATCAGATCAGATCAGAAAGATTCAGATCAGATCAGATCAGATCAGAAAAATTCAGATCAGATCAGATCAGAACTTAAAAAATTCAGATCAGAAACATTCAGATCAGGCGAAGAGAACAGCTTCTTAGTCTTGATGTTTAGGGAACTAAGGGATTAATTTGCTAGGTTTAGGGAATTTTGTGTAGGAGCCATTTTTGGCACTGTTCCTATGCCCCAAATGGGGTAAGAGCAGTCACTTTTTAGGAATTTGATACTTTCGAGGATTGCATTGTAGGCATGGATTCACTTTTAAATAAATGAACCTTAATTGCTATTTTTCCTTGGTGAGGTCGAGATTAGAATGGGGTAATGTCTAGTGAGAATCCGAAAGGTGAAAAATTAATACAGCTATACCTCTTGCCTTGCAAAAAAGGGAATGGGAGCTCCGGTCAAAAAGCGTAAGATGAGACTTGGGTATCTTTCGAAAGAAACGGCGTTCTCGTGCCAACATGACAAAGAAAATTAAACCTGATTAAATGAACATGGAGGCT